TTAAGCTCAAACTGAGTGTTGCGTGTGTGAGCTTTCTTTGATGTCACTATTACCTACTTTTGATAGGTTTGAAAAGTTGGTTTTCTGTTGTACCAATGGATCCAGATGTGGTTATGGAGTTTACTGAGCTTCAATTTATTGTATTTGTAAGTGTTTGTAAGAAATCATCAAAGCGATAGTGATATATTGGATAAGTAACCTTATTTATAACGCTAAAAACAAACTTTTTGACACTGATTTTTCGGGTTTTAGTATGTATTTGATTCACGCAAAAACTACTGGGCCTATTTTGAAAATTCTTTCACCATTATAAAGGTAATTTATCTGTGAGTAACATAGGTTATATTTTATTATTACTAATATTAAGGAACTATTAATAAACATCAGATTTCCGGACCCCAACGTTAACCTTACTTATTACGCTAAAAATAAATTCAAAAATACTTACTGTAACTTAACTTTTTGACACTTTGTCGTGTCAAAATGGAAGCTCTTAATTAACATTTTTATGCGGGTTTTATTTGATTTTTTGCATTTTGAAAAAAAATCAGTGTTGGTACGTGCTCTAAATATATAAAACAAGAGATACACACCATGCAGTGAATACGTAGTAATTTTGTATACTCGTAGCGTTTTAATGTAACAAACAATGGACTTAATTTATAACTCCATTTTAATATCTCTGCAACACAGAAAGAAATGTAAAAAATACTAATGAACTTCGTAAAATGCAATTTGAAGATATCATGAATAGAGATTGAATTAAATTTTATGAATATTACCAGATAAGAAAATCAAATTTTATTCATGTTCAAAGTAATAGACGGCTGGTGATTTTATTTTTTGTCAGCATGTCGATTTCGGTACCTTTTGGCTGGGTTCTGTTGGGTTGAGGGTCTTTGTTAAAGATTTCCATTGTACCGTTACTTGATTTTATAAGTACGGTTGTATTGTAACTTCGTATCTCTTGACATTGACGGAGTTTTGAAGACTAAAATTTTGCTTAATCCATTTTTGGTAGACGTTATATGACGATGTTATGGATTATAATTATTGATAAATTATTTATTATTTGTATAATTAAATACTGATTAGGTTGTTACTTTATTAATTAATCTCAATCGTGTAACAAGCCCATCTACGTTGTGTAGTCCTTGAAAGTTTTAGACCTTGTGTGAGCTAATAAATTAGGAGAATTATTCTATACATTAATTTTTAAACTAAGTACGGATTTTGATGTATCAATAGTTTATTATTAAAATGGAGTAATGTTTGTATATATGACGTCATTAAGGTATTTTATGCAACTTAGGTTGGCTTCGTTAACAGGAAGCTCCACGTCGTCACTAGGTCAGACCTACTTGTCTCAAAAGGTTTAATCGTCTTCATGTATTTTGCAACAGCTACGCCAGAACACCATCTTCAGGACAAGTACCTATTTTTAATATTTGAACTTCGTCGGTTTGTTTACTTTTTCTTTTCATAAATCTGATGCCAATAAAAAACTATTGTATTGAAAATATGTTTAATAACCAAAAGTTATAAGTTAAATATCGAATATGCAGCCAGCTTAAAGGACAGTGATATAAGCGCGTCGGAGCAACTTTTATGACAAGGCAAACTCAATTTAAAAGCTCTTTCATATATTTCAATGAAGCGTTCGTTTAAATGCTTACTGTACAATACTTTTGAATATTGTATTAAATTTATTATGCTCATACTATCATTGATACGCTCGTGAGTCGATGCATAAACATTATTCTATCTTTTTTTTTCAGATTAATAGAATGTTTTTAATGTTTACTTCTATAGCATATTGCATTATTATACTGTTAATCGTATACCTTCATAGCTTTGTGATATTTAGTTATGATAACAGCATAAGTAGACAATAAAAGAATGTGTAAGAAACGATAGATGTAAGAGGATGTATAGGGTTTGCGATTCCAATTTTTCGATACTGCCTTTAACCTGCCTTTAATTTGCTGCAACTTGATGTTACGTCTCATATTGCCTAAAGATAAATGAAGCTAATTTAGCTTGACCAAGAATATAAAAACGATCGCCTTGTTACAGTAAATCATGAAGCTATTTTTTTTAAACCTTAAACAGTGATGTAATAAAAAGCCTTCGAAATGCTCCAGAATTATTACATTATTGGTTAGACTATACCAATGTGTCAGAATAAGAAACATCTAGGCACCATTATTAGTAGGTATACAGACTTTTTGGAAAAATGAAAACCATCATTTATTTTAAAAGAAATGTAATGTAAAACTCGAAACTCATTATGTCTTATTAACAGCATTGAAATAACTATTTATTTAACGGCTATCACTCACTTTTTTTCCGTTGACGGCACTTAAATTAGAAGCATTGAAAAACGACCCAAAGCATTGAAATACGTCAAGAGTTTTTAAGATGTAGACAAACTCGAAACCATTATCTGTTTCAAACAGATCGAAATGTAATGAATCTGTCGAGCTTTAGAATTTGCGGGGACCGTATGAAAAGAAAGGAGGTATAGCAAATATTTATTCGGAGCGTTATTTTCTCAGCGATTACTACCCTCTTGTCTTGAGAGATAACTCGAGCTCGCTTAGAGCATGACGTAAGAAGTGCGTCCTATTGACCCCGCTCGAGTGCCCGAACTGTTTCCCCGGCTTAATACGTCCCCATTTTTGCATACCTTAATTTTTTTCAATGTAAACATTCCCCTATTTCATACTTCTTCACAATTTATTACCAAAACTAAAAGACAATCAAGCAAAATTCAACCAAAAAAAATAACAAAACGAGGCGATAGAAATGTAATGAACAGAGCTTACAAATAATTTTTGTTACTTATGTACCCAGTAAGTATTAACAATATTTCATCTTTGCACCTTGTAATAGGTAAGCATAACTAAGCATAAAGATTTTCATTTCTACGTAGATATCAAAATAATAAAAAGTTTATAGAAATATTCTTTTATTAAAATGCAACGTTGTGTAAAGTTCCGCTCTATTCATTGACTTTACTTTTCGAGTATTGCAGATACAAAAAGATGAGCAATATTTTTAAGTATAAAAAGTCACGAATGTTTATGAATTTATTAAAACAAAAAAAAAACTATTTCCGATTTTGCCAGTTCTTAATTACTCGTAAATGCTGGTTCTAATTTTCCAATATTCTTTTTCACTAAAATAATACCGTTACTAAATAGATTAAAACAGTTTTCTTCAACACAGTAAACTAAAAAATATTAATATTTGTATAATTTGACAAATTATTAATTAAAATAACATTATGCGAGTTATCTTCTGTATTGACAAAATTCTTTTCTCTTGTTTAATATAAGATAAGGGACATAAATCTTTGTGGAGAAAGAATTAAAAAGCAACATATTTATAAAGACATTTTATTAAACACTTTCTTATTTTTGTATAATAGAATAATTCAAACCGACATTTACAACAAACAACTATAAAAATCATTACATCATCGAGCTAACATCATTAATGTTAGTAGGTTCTGTTGATTACATGGAACTGATCATCATAGCGTCTGACGTAATGACTCTGACGTGTCAATTTCGAGGTTATAATACATTTTTAAAGATGTCTATAAACCGTCGCTTGTAGATGGGATTAGTCTGTATTAATATACATTAATTAACAGTTTTTAATTATGAATGAATCTACACAGTTGATTTCAATTGTTATAAAACATTCATAAGAATATTGTTGTCTTTATGTTTGAAAATAAAAGTGGGATGGCAATATTTGCATACAATTGTTACTAGAGAGACCAGCCATTACTGACATTTTTCCATGTTAAAATTCTGATATAACTTGCATTTTACAATAATACAAGTGTGTTAAAATTAACACTATTTAATTATGTTAATATAAACTGTTTCTTTAGTTCTTCTGTTACATGTATTCAGTTTATAATTTAGAAAACAATTGGGCAGTGACTTTCATCGGGTAATGAGATGTCTAATGTTTAGTGTGACAATATTTTTGAATTGAAATTACTCAGTCTAAAGACAACTTTTTTGATGACTTGGAAGATCTCACCAGGACAACAACGTTAAATTCATCTCATCAAATTATAGTTAAAAATTCGGACATTGGTTCGAATACTTTAATAAAAATTTATAATCAAGTTTTAGAACAATTTATCTCCGCAACGTTTATGTTTACATTTTGGTCTAAAAACTCAAAAAAAATATGATTTTATACAATAGATAAATAATTAAAATAATTACATACTTTTTAAAATCGTTTCTTTGTGTGTTTATTTAATGCAAGAAAAGGCAATAAACAATAAAGAAGGCGGCAATAAAGGACATTATAGTAGTAAAAATATTAAACTTATGGTTTAAAGTTTGTAATAATGTTTAGTACTGTAAAATTGTTTTACCGGTATTGATTTTTTTTTAATTTAAATTGAAATATTTCTACCCTTGTTTCGTTACACATAAAGCGACACACATCTAATATTATGATTTTCATTATTCTTAATTGAAGCTAACACAGAATAACAACGGAAAAGAAAACACCAATTTGAGGAATGCATAAAATCTACGGTTTACACTACAAATCTCGTCTTAAGCTTTTAATCTAAAAGCTTTTGGTTGCGATCTGCATAACATCGTTTACAACTAATTTACAAGAAGCTCTTATTTTATGTTTTCTATATAAATGGATTGAAAGCTCTTTGGACTGTATTTAGAACATAAAAGATCCTTAATGTCTCCTTTAATATTCCTCTTTTACGCCAGTTACGAGATTTAAAAATCTTATAGAAGAAATAAATAAAAAAAAGGTTTTTGAAATCGGTTCCAATACAGATTTAAATGTTTTAAAACAAAGTTATTATCAACGCTGCAACTGAAGGCAACATAACAGAAAACATTGCGTATTAAATTTTATATTAGTTTAATTATCTAACACATATTTATTTTAAGCATTAACATTATTTAAATCTAGTTAACAACATTAATAGGCTTTAATATAAGTGATAGTATAACTTTTTATTCAATTTAAATGTTACGATTTTTGTATATTACATTATGTTTGTAGTTTATTACTATAAATATGTGAATTACGCCGAAGTTATTTAACATGTGTGCTGCTGATTTAAGGAAAGATTCTGTTTGAAAAACTTATATACATATTGTACAATGATGAAAGGTAAAAATTTTGTTAACTTACTGTAAAACGTATACATAATTTTAGATTTCAAATCTTCATAAAAACATTTAAAAGACCTGGATACCGGGACAGATTATTTTTAATTTCTTTAGCTTCATAGTGCTTTATTCAGTACTAATCGCGTCACCAAATTCTCAATTAATCTGTAAGAGGTGACGTCATTCAATAAGGACACATATTAAAATCTTACCACTGACATGTAAATACACATACAAACTAGTTACTACTCTATCACGGGATAAGAAACTGTCTTTTATTACATCTATACATACAGATATATTCCAACAAATAACATTTCGTTCTTTAATATATTATAGACTATACCACTTTCTAAACTCGACACTGAAAGCCATGTGTTCGTCGCTCGTCGACAAATGAACATTTTTCACTCGCAGTTTGTGCGTTCAACACCACAACTATTGGAAACGGATGAAGCAGACCCGGTTTATACTGATGTTAACGTGGTATTCACGCGGGACCCGCTGGGGTTTGGCTCACCGATACCTGAAGACCAAAGATACCATGACCGTTGGTAGTGTCGGTGTGATTCGCGTCGGGATTTGGTGCCGTCGGGGCCAAGTCCGGTGGCCCCAAGTCGTGCGGCCCCAAGTCTGGCGGCTCCTCGGGCGGGGCGGCGGCCGGTCGGATGTTATCGAGCCGTGGGCGCGGGGAATAGCGCGGCGTCAGCGAAATGCCTCCGACGACTGGGTGCGATTTACGATTCCCACCTGGAGCGCGTCGTGCATCATGCGCTCGTTCTCCTGCCGAACTGCGAACAACACATACACAAGCTTAATCATTATCATTGTGACATCACACGATAAACATTACGACGGACCACAAACTATATCTAAAACTTCGTTGGGTAAAATTCTATACCAAATATTGTGTTTTTTTAAACCTTTGGATCATACAGTCTATGTTGGATACATCTCTAGATTCTAAAGTTCTAAGATCTAGAAGATACAAATACACAGATAAAATGTGCTATTCTTTAAATTTGTAATTATTATTCACTAATTCAGATCATATTCCAACATAAGGACATAGATTCCAGAGACGCTATGTCTCCCAAGGTACGTTTCTCAGCTCTACGTTCCAGTTAATAGCACTCTTGTTAAAATGTTAATGCTTATTCCTTTGAATGTTTAGAATATTAACAATTTTATTAAGTATATTAACACGATCAATACGGTTAGTTTCAAAATTTACTTTTTCTTATCATTAAGAAAATACTCAAACACCAAGTTAAGAAGCTCGCAAGAAAGTTAATCGGTAGTGTTAATCACAACACAATTATTCCTATTTCTAAAGTTTTTAGTACTTATTTTAAAAGTGATTTAAAAAATAAAATCAACAAAGACATTTTTCGGGTTATTTTTACAATCTCAAGTTGTGATAGACACGTTTTATGAGCTATCGCTTCAAGTTTGTATTAATTAGACAACTCAATAATAATCCCCTTGTTAATAACAAATGGTCTTCAATGGATACTTTCCGAATCATAACTTTTGTCCCTAGAACATGGTCCTAACTACTTTCATAGTTAGTATTGTACTTTTACATGAATTTATCCAAACAAAAATTCAACCCTCAGTGATTAGCATTGCCTCGCCGTTAGGGTGAATTCCGCTTTGATTAGTTGACCGGCAAATTTGAATTATTATTACATCGTTACTTCGTAAGGTCATTTATATGTATTGCGGGTTTGTCAACATGTAATATCAACAAATACGAATAAGATTCATCAACCTTTTTAATAGAAATCCGAATAAAATTGTATAAGCAGTAATTGTAACTTAATTTAAACATTTATTTCCAAAAAATAATTATAGCAATCGTAAGATTGTTTAGAGCTGGGTAGTAACTTATAATTACAATTTTCTCGATAGTTTGTAGACTGCATTTGTAAATGATCTAAACAGGGAATAGAATGGTAAACATTTTATTTAACTCTAGCAAATTAGAATTTAAATAACGAACGAAAACACCTGAAAGTAATGAGACTTTTGTTTTACTTGCAGGAGTAACATTTTGACTAAATTTTTCTTTTATTTGTTTATATGTTCTTCGAAGCAACAATACTATTGTCTACAAATTTTTGGTTAGCTAACTTCAGCCGATGAATTTCATTTAAAAAATTGCAGTTGTGAACTTTTTTTAGTTAAAATTTTTATAGTGGCTACCAAGGTTAAAATTAAAGTTTAGTTAGAAAAAAATGTTTAAAAGTCATCATACATTTTTTACTTTTTTGAACATATTTATACGCCACAATTTTTTACATTAATTTATCTTTAAAAGATATGCCAATCCCATAGTGCTACTCTTAGTGATTAGGAAATGAGCTGACATAATCGTACAGCCGCGTCGGTAGTAGGCTCAGCCAGTATTGATATAATAATTTTCTTTTATGTTTATTGATATTCACAATAGCAATCTGTATATTTTCAACGCTACATCACGTGAATTGACGTACAATCAATAATGATCACATATTGTGAGGCAACAACAGGAGTGTTTGTTTGTACATGTATCGATCTTACCTTGTCATGTATTTTCTTTCTCAACGAGGTCAAAACAACTCGCCCTTTTAGCAAATTAACATTGAGTTTTTTGTTTAATATTGAAAGAAGACAACGAAAATGTTTTTTTCCTCTACGCCTTAGAAGTCTTGAGTGATCACTTTTTATTACATTAAGGTTTGAAGACTTCATTATCAAAAAAGACAATTTTACACATGTGAATATTATTGCACTTATAACATAGCAAATCGCCGATATTATTTCATAAATTTGAAATGTTTTTCTAAGCTATATTGTAATAACATAGATTTAAATGTATTAAATGTGCTTACATTTTTAATATAAAACGGTAATTGTTGTAAAGTTGTGCTTCTTTAGAAGTAATGTTTTTGCACCATAGTTGGTTCGAACTTTATATTAGAAATCATTACTTGATATCTGTTTTAACAAGTAAATATTTCATATCTTCGAGGTACATTATAGCATACTCGATGCAGTCAATATTTCGCTTTGATGCTGACATTGATTGTTACTTGTTGAATACATGTGCGTATCATCAGACGTAAATAGCTCTCCGCTGTGGATCTATTCACACCGTAAATCCTCCACTGACACCGTAGCGAAAGTGGGACGCAACACCTCATAAAACACCTCAAAGCTCTAGCTGTTTGTTCCAGTTAATTTACTGCTCTTACATCCGACGTGCGGAGAACGCAGTCACAGCCTGAAGAAATATGCGTCTTGTTTACAGTGTGTCAATACATAAAGTTTTTTATCTATTTATACTTCGTTCTCTTAGCGTGTCTGTATAGATCTCTTTTCATGATCCTCTATTTTATGGTTTCCTTTGCTTAAGCAAATTCAAACATTTTGTTTCATTTAAAATGTAATGGTATTTTCTAAAAAGTATCTACCTCTTCCTTACACAAAGATGTTCATAGTTCAAAATGGTCAGTTACCATACAAGTTATTTGCTCGTTTATTTCTTTGCTACAAAAGAAAAAGCGTCCAGCTTAACCCCGTTAAAAGTCAGCATCGTTCTTAATTATTTAAAAATGATATAAAAAATTTGCATTACTAAAAGAACTCTCAGCCACGATTGTGAGTTCTATGTTTTATAAACAAACTAGCATTTCATAACATTAGATAAGCTATTTTTGTATGAATGAAAAAGCTCTTAGTGGAAGTTCTAACAATTTCAAACGGAGCACGGTTTAGGCCCGCTTTTACTTTTACTCAGTTATTTGGATCGCGACGGGAGACCGTAAGAGTGATACAAGGGTCAGCGGGGGTTAAAGAATTTAATATTTCTTTGACCTAAATCGTAATCTTGGATATGTTTTTTGGCAGCCCGCGAATTTATTTCTTGACAAAGTTCATTCCGCTCTAGAAAACACAAATAAATGCAAATAAAGTCAATTATTATATTGAGTGGAGTCTGAGATGTCTTATTTACGACAACATTTGCGAAATCCTTTTGATATAACATAATTTATATGCATGACATAGTTCCTTGTTACAAAGATCTGGATTAGCGACATCTATCTGATGTGGTTTGAATTCAAAGTGATGGTCTAACTTTTTTAGGGACATATTGCGTCTTCGTTGTTTTCGCATGTTCTTTCTTGACTGACAAAATTATCAGTAGGTTTGTTTCATAGTTTCCTCCAAACAGCTACACAGAATGTAAAAAAATAAAGTGTCATTTGATTTCGAATTTACTATACAGCAATATGTACCTGTCGATAGTCCACACTAGAAGAAATAATCGCAGAAACAAGATTATTTCTCTTTCAAGGTTTACAAAACAGATCAGTATTTACAATATCTAAGACATCGATCATTTTTGGCACTCTTCTTTCTCGAATCCGAGGTTTTATTGTTTGTTATCCTCGATATTATTTATTGCTTTAAGTGTACTGCCATTTAGAGAACTCTCTTATACCGATCAATTTGTCTTGATCGCGATCGGTTACTACTCTCCTGTACACTCCATTAGACTCTCACGACCTTGTAATTGGTTTTAGACTAGAGGACTAAGTTATCATATCTACATTATTATATTACATTATTTAAAGGATATATATTATTGGATCTCTTCTTGAAGAAAGCGTCACCTTCTTTGTAAATTAAATAAATCACATTTAATAGAAAGCGATGTTTTGCTAACAGGACTCCTTCGTTAAAACACGTTTACGAGGAGTAAAGTTACTTATTAATACAACGTTACAAGTTCCTAAGTACCGTAACAAAGTTTCCATTTTAGTTATCGAGAAAGCTTTTAGGCATCTTATTTCTTGTACTTTGTTCTTATTTAAGGTTGTTCCTTTACTGTAGTAATGCGATAACGGAGAAAATGAAACGCATTGGAAATATACGACTTGATACTCTGTTTTCTATACTAATATATAAAGAGGATAGATTTGTATTTTTAGATTTTTGCATGTATTGAAATAACTTAAAAACTACTAGGCTGATGTCAAAAATTTCACCGTTGAAGAGCTACGTCATCAGGGAGTAACATAGGCTATATATAAATTATTTTTTAAATTCACGCGGAACAAGTCACGTGTAGTTGCTCGTAAGTAATATAAGAAATTGTTATACAAAAGACAACATTCTGAATTGACTACAAAACATTCTTAATACATAGAACGTAAGGTAAGAGAAACCAAAGACTGTATTCACACGTTCTCAAACAATGCCTGAGCGCTTTGATGCGCTAATATCGAATTCCTAGCTGTAATGAAACGAGTTCTGAATACAAGAGTTTGTTTACAATACTAGTAAATCGAGCTCGACCATTGTTTCTGTTAGCTTTTTTAAATAGCAGACAATAGAAGTTTAAAAGATTTTTGTAGAAAGATATTTTATGAAATACGAGTTTACACGAATTCGAGGAAATTTTACACAGATGAATGGCACTTTGATTTAGTAGAGTTTAAGATTTAACATCGTCGTGTTATTCTATTTCATTACTTACAAAAGTAACATATTATGTATATATATTTTTTGCAATAAAATGAGATTGTAATATTTCTTTGTACACACATAGATTTCGTTGGGAACCTTTCTTATGGTCAACGTAAAGTATGGGATACACGTTTTTCTTTAAGCTTATTTACACTACCGTAGTAACGTATCAAAAGAATTACTGGTGCGATCATCCGAGTTTCAATAGGGCTTACTATGTTTGGAGTTCTAAATTTCTGCTTAAATACGTAGTACGTGAGAATTTTCACACGAG